CCGCGGGGGGCCCGACCTCCTCCCCGCGCCCTGCCCGGCGTGGGCGCCGCCCCGTGCGGTCGCGGGGCCCGTACAAGTGACGCTGTGTCCTGAGAACGCGGGTTTATCGATGTCGCGTCTTCGTGACGTAGTTCTGGGCTTTTTTCGGGTTTTTCTTGGTTGGTAGATTCGTTTCTGCAGGGGCAGCTCGTGAGTGCCAGCAGGCAGGCGAGCGCACGGGGTGAAGGTGGAGGGAAAGCCGCCTCCTTGCAGAGCCTGGCCCCCAAAGTGGCTCTTTCTTGTTTTAAACAGAAGAGAAATGATAGTTGTTGAAACTGAGGCACGACTGGGCGCCCCTGCTGGCACTCTGGCTCTGCCCGCGTCTTTACCCGCGTGGGGAGGCACTCGACGCCTGCTTCCCAAAGTGTAAATAATCTCGCGCCTGGACTGGGTTAAACAGGATGACCGAAGTTTCTAAAACGTATTGCTTCCCTGACTGTCAGAGTGTAAGATGGGAGGTGTCACTTAACCTCTTCTTTCCTGGATCGTGGGTGTCCCCTCCTCCTCCTGGCTCTGTGCTAGTCTGCTGTGCCCTGAAGAATAACATCGAACTTCTTTAAAATGTTTGCTAAAAAGTCAGACAGAAGCTGAGTGTGCACCGGCAGGTTTGCTGTGACTTCGTAAGGGCTATTTTAGGGGCTCAGGAACTTTTTCTTATTCCATTTTGGGGTTCTAGGAGTTGAGACTAAGTGGGCATCACTCCCACTGTTAAATTATTACACGTATATGATGTAGTGCATATTCTCATGGTCATTTTCAATTCTGAAAAGTGCTTTGAAACCAAGTGAGAAAGAAGAATTAGTTTAATTCCAAGTCGATTGTGTACCAGGCAGTTTCACACATCTCATTCAATTTCAGCAACCTCTGAAGTCTATACCGTTTTACAGAGAGAATACTGAAATCCAGAGAAATCAAGTAGTCTCTCCATCTAATAAATGACAGAGCCAGGCCTGTCCAATTGCAAAGATCCTGTTATACCATGTTCTGCCCGCCCCCACCCAGAGCCAGCCAGTTAACAGTTACTGTGTGTCCTTCCAGACCTTTTATTATTTTTTAAATGCATTTCTTAAATACCTGTAGAAGGTACACAGTGTTTTTATGGTGTTTGAAGGTAGATGCTGAGAAGCAGAATTGCTGAATCTTAGGATGTACCCACTTAAACGTGTAATAGATGTGCTTTTCCTTCTTAGAATCCTTTTGGGTGCTTCCCCAAAAGCCCTGATGATTTTTGTATTAGGATCATACTAATCATACTAGTTTTTATTAATCAACCTAGACGTCTTTGTGATGTTAAGCGTGCTATTTCATTCCATCTCTTAAAACAACTTTGGTGCCCCCTGATAACATTTACTTTGTTGCCATTATAGATGGACTTTTTTCTTTCACTGTCTCTTCTAACTAGATGTTTGCTTGCATAAACTCTACTAATTTTTGAAGATGTATTCATTTTCTACCCAGCCCCTATGTTAGACTGTCGTACTGGTTTTAGTAGTTTTTCATTTGATTATCTTGGGTTTTAAAGAAATAAGTCACACCTATACATAATGATAGGGTTTTTGTCTCCTTTTTGTACCTGTTATTGCTTTCTCTTTTCCAATGCCATCAGCTAGTACATCCAGAAAAAATGGTAAATAATAGTGCAGATCCTTGGCTTGTTCTTGACTTTCATGGGAATGGTTGTGGTGATTCTGCAGCTTTAGAGGTGGATGTCAGGCATTTTATTATGTTAAGAGGGAACTTATCTAGTCAGATTTATTAAGAATCAAAATGTAGGCGGGAGGGTATAGCTCAGTGGTAAAGCGTGTGCTTAGCTTTCATGAGGTCCTGGGTTCAATCCCCAGTACCTCCAATAAAAATAAATAAAAAGTCACACCCCCCCCCAAATAATTAAAATGTTATGCGGGTTTTTTTGATAACCACAGGTAGTAGCGATCTAATTAGATTTTGTTTCGTGTGGATAGCCAATTTCCAAGAATCACTTATTAAAGTCTCTTCTTTCTTCCTTTATAATACACTAAATTTTCATACATGTGTGGTGATTTGTTTCTGGACTCTTCATTCTTTTCCGTTGATGTTTTAAAATTACTATTTTTTGATCCAGTTCCACCGGTTTTAAATAATTATCTTAGTGATATTTCTGAAATTTCATTGTAGGTGAAAAAAAGTCTCAAATGGACATGCAAAGCTTGTGGGGAGAAGCAGTCATTTTTGCAGGTGAGTCACGAGAAGCAGGGCACCTACTGCTTCCACCAGGGGGCAGGTGGGACCCAGCCCTGCAGAAGTATGTTTCTCACGGAGCCCAACTATGTGGTCTCAAGTTCGTTAGATACAGCGCTCCTGCTCCCTGAGTTCCTGTTCCTTGAGGAAGTGAAATGGATGGAGCAGTGCCTGGAAACAGTCCTTCCTCTGTTTATTGCCTTCACAGCTCTGCTGTCACGTAAGGAAGAGAAACTAAAACACACATGGACACGCCATTTAGAACTGGAGTGAGCACATGAGAGGAAGTGCAGGGGTCTGTAAGGATAACTGGGGGCTCAGAGCTAACTGGGGATGGGCAGGCAGCTAGCTGTTCGTAGAAGCAGGTGTGAGAAGGAGGGTGGGCAGGGAGACTTGATGGGGCATGTGGACTGAAGGGAGGAGGTTGTAAGTGCTCTTGTTGGTCCACTTTTTTCACTTAGCATCACAGTTCTTTTCAAGTCCATACCTGTTGACCCACCTGGTCTCTTTAAAGCCACAGACTCCTCATTGAGCCCCTTGTTCACCTGCTCCAGCCCTTGGTGCCACTGCTCTAACCTCCTCTCATCATCTTCCTCCATGAGCCATAGGGGCTTTCCCTTCTGACCTTGAAACAGGCCACATCCGCCCCCTTCTGGGGGCCTTTGTGCTCCTTGTTGGGACCTCTCTTAACTAATCCCATCATCCTGATCAGAAATATATTCGAAGGTGAGTGCTGTCCGTCTTCGCCGACTGCAAGTTCCGCAAGAGTGGAGCCTTTGCCTGTGTTATTCATGTGCCCTTTTTTTTCTTTACTGAGGTGCAGTCATTTACAACATGTCAGTTTCTGGTGCACAACACGATGTCCCAGGCATGCACATATATACATATATTCGTTTTCATATTCTTTTTCATTAAAGGTTATTACAAGATATTGAATATAGTTCTTTGTGCTACACAGAAGAAATTTGTTTTTTATCTATTTTTATATGTATTGGTTAACATTTGCAGATCTCAAACACCCAAATTTATCCTTTCCCAGCCCCTTTTCCCCCGGTAACTATAAGACTGTTTACTATGTCTGCAAGTCTGTTTCTGTTTTGTAGATGAGTTCAATAGTGTCCTCTTTTTCTTTTTCTTTTTTTAAGATTCTACATATAAGTGACATATCATATTCTTTCTCTTTCTGTCTTACTTCACCTGGAATGATGATCTCCAGGTCCATCCATGTTGCTGCAAATGGCATTATTTTATTATTTTTTATAGCTGAGTAGTATTCCATTGTATAAATATACCACAACTTCTCTATCCAGTCATCTGACAGTGGACATTTAGGTTGCTCTTTTTTTTTAAATCAAAGTGTTGATTTATGATAATATGTTAGTTTCAGGTGTACAGCAAAGTGATTCAGTTATACATATTTTCTTTCCAATTCTTTTTCATCATAGGTTATTGCAAGATAGTGAATGTAGTTCTCTGTGCTACACAGCAGATCCTTGTTTATCTGTTTTATATGTAATAGTGTATATCTGTAAATCCCAAACTCCTAATTTATCCCTCCCCCCATTTCTCCTTTGGTAACTGTAAGTTTGTTTTCTGTGTCTAAGTCTGTTTCTGTTTTGTAAATAAGTTCATTTGTATTATTTTTTTAGATTCCACATATAAGTGATATCATATGATATTTGTCTTTGTCTATCTGACTTACTTCACTCAATATGATAATCTCTAGGTCCATCCATGTTGCTGCAAATGGCAATATTTCATTATTCTTATGGCTGAGTAATATTCCATTATATATATAGATATACCACCATCATATATATTAATATATATATAAATAAAATCTTTATCCATTCATCTGTTAATGGACATTTATATACCCTTTTTTATGTATGATAAAACCTTGGCACCTAGGACAGTGCCTGTGACATAGTAAATGCTTGCTCAATAAATGTTTGTTGAACGAATAAATGACCAGTCCCACACTGATGGGCATTTAGGTTGATTTTCGTTTTCATTGCTGTGAACAACTCTGCAGTGAAACTTACTACGAATACCTCTTTCTTCACTTGGCCAATTATTTCCTTAGGACAAATTCCTAGAAGTTAAATCAAGGAATTCTTTCAACCAAAGATCTTTTAGTTGCAAATAATAGGGAAAAAGAAAAAACAACTTTAGAATGGTTTCAGCAAAAATTTTAAAGGTACTGACAAGGTCATGGGGTATCTTGGAGAATCCAAGGGAGGAGTTTCATCCTTGACCCCTTGAAGAACTAAACTGAAGAGCAGTCGACAGCACCAGTGCCATCTTGTCCTGTCTGCCTCCTTCCCTCACCCAGTTTCTCCCTGTGCCTTCCTTCCCACTCCCTACCTCCACTCCTTCCCTTCCTCTCTCTCCCCAGTTCACAGTAACACACTCCACTCACGGACCACAGAATCTCATTTGAAACCCACTGGAATAGCTGAGTCCCAGTTATGAACTCCTGGGAGAAGCAGTCTGGTTGGTCTAGTTGACTCAGATCTCCTGCTCTGGTCCAGTCAAGTGGAAGTAGGGTGGGATTGGGGACAGTCAGGTCACCTGTCAGCAGAGCAGCCGAGGCCCACCCTGAGATTGGGCCTCAGAAGACGGGGGCCTGGCTCATAAGCCAGTGACTGCTGCTGCTTTTAGATGTCAGCTTGTGTTGGGAAGTCTTAAGGAGGCTCTGCCTTCCTCTCAGCCTCTCCATGCTTGTGCAGTGGTGGGTGGCTTACGATTGACTGGGCCACCGTAACAAATAGTCACCAAACTGTGGTGCTTAACACAAAAGAAGTCGTTTCTCTTGCTCTTGTAACAGTCCTGGGAGGGACTGAGATCAGAAGGGCAGCTGTCCTTGGTATGGGCATCCGGGGACCCAGGTGCCTGCCGTCTGATGGTTCTGTTACTCCCTGAGATTTGTACGCTGCTGTCTCTAGCCCCTGAAGGGGCAAGAGCATGGGGGCAATACCCAGGAGGGCTCTGGAAGCGACTCACGTTCCGCTGGAGGGAACCTGGTCTAGTGGCCACACCTGACTGAAAGGAAGACTAGAAAATATAGCGTTGTTTGTTTCCAGGAAAAGGGAGAACGCATTGCAGTGTCTGCTCTGCACTCTGCCTACCAGTTACGGCAGACGCAGGCCGTCATTCCTTTTGAACCATGCCCTTCCCCCTCCCCTTCCTTTTCTTCTGCCTGCACTTGAACTTGCCCCAAACAGGATCTCACCCCCCATCAGTCCACTAACGTTGCTCCTGTCCAAGCCAGCAGTGATCTCTGTGTTGCTAAAAACGATGGTCGGCTCTCAGCCCTCAAGTGACTTGACTTACTGGTGGCATCTGTCCGTTTGTCACTTCCTCCACGTCTAGGCGGTGTGTGCCGTCTATGCCCAAGTACCAGGGTCACCCATAACCCGAGAGGCCAGGCTTTCCATTGGAACCAGAACTTGCTTCAGTTGCAGAAAGAAGGCAAGGCTGTTCTAAAAATCCTGAACAGCCAAGGATATCTGTCTTGTCTTCTCTTACTCCTGTTACCTCCCTGGAACAGCCAATCACTTCTGAAAATACGGCACAGAAAGAGGGAAAGACAGTTCCTTTTCCTCTGAGTCTTCCCTTACTCCTCAGTGAGCTGAAGGCTGACAGCATGGATAGTGTCTGTGTACCAAGAACTGAAGTAAGCGTGAGTTCACTGGAATTCCCTGTTCCTGGGGCGTCAGGCATGCTGTGTGAAAACAGGGGCGAGGAACAGTGGGCACCCTGGGTGTCCTCGACTCAGACGTGCTTCCTTATCTCATCAGACTTCACTGACACCTGTTCGTGTAAGATGATTAAGAATTTCGGGATGGGGACAGCAGAGCAGGTCTCATAGCCCCCGTAAGGCTGACCTGCCTGTAGCAGGGCCTACACTCCCAACCTCATCTCCTGCCACCTGCCCCCAGACCGCTCCACTCCGGCCACCTGGCCTCCTCCCTGTTCCTCCAGAGCGCCAGGCTGGGGGGCTTCACACTCCTTCCCGTGTCATTGCTTCTGCTGAATGCTCCTCCCCAGGTGTCCGCGTGACTTGCTCCCTCCTGTGTTCCTATTCTGTGTTGAGATGGCACCTTCTTGGTGGTCCAGTCCTTGATCCCTCGAACACCCCATAGAAATTGTCTACTCTGGCCCCACTCCACCCCGCCCTTCATTGCCTAACTCTCCTCCGCAGCCCTTCTCACCACTTGATGGCCACGTGGGCGACTTAGGTACACACTGTCTGTCCCCTGTCACTACAGTGTGAGCTCCACGCCGACAGTGATGTGTGTCCACTGCTGTGCTGTGTTGTCTTTACCTAGCTCTGCGATGACACATAACAAGTGCTTAATAAATAATACTAAGTAAATGAGTGTCTGCTCAGTAAAAGAAAGTGTCTCATTTATTTTGTAGTCTTCAGCTTGTGGGTGAGGGGTAAGTGTCACTTCATATGTTTATTGGCAATTTGCATTATTTTTCTTCTGAATTTCACATGACCATTAACCAGTCTGCGTGGGTGTTTAGGGGTTGAGTTTGGCTTTGGCGTGAGGAGTCAGGGTAACGGTGGGCGGCCAGACGGGCTGAAACTCTCGGTCTGTGGAACTGTCAGTTTGTAAACCGCTGCAGACGTGGCAGGCAGTCGTTAGGGCTCCTGCGTGGTGCTGTGGGGCTCACCCGCCCCGAGTGAATTTCTGATGGATCTGTTTCTTTAGCATTCTGTCAGCACTTTTTAAACTTAATATTTTTGTTTGTTTGTTTCTCAGGCTTACGGCGAGGGCTCTGGTGCAGACTGTAGACGCCATGTCCAAAAGTTAAATCTGCTTCAGGGACAGATTTCAGAGACGTCACTCAGGTACAGTAGTTCGAGAAGGGCTCCGTTATGCTGCCCTGGTTTCATCTGGAGCGGACGGCAACGGCATACAATGGAGACATCCCTGACATTTCTGTGTCTTACAATATGGCGATTAGATATGGAACAATCTTCCCACTGAAAATAATTTAAAATGCAGGCCACGACATTTTAAATGCACTGATGTAATGACAAGAAAATAAGTAGCCATCAAAAGCCCAAATCCGGAGGGGGAGCAGCCGGGCTGCTGGGCATTGACACCTGGTGCCCCGCAGCTCCCACTTCGGCTGGGAGGAGGCAGGAGACAAGACAGGGCCCGGAGCCCGCTCAGTGTAGGAAGGCCAATAGGAGACCGCCACCTGAAGCCCAGTCCCCGGCGGACCACACCCGCGGCATACAAGTAAACTAGCCACGCACCCCTCACCGCAGGGAGCCCGCGGGGCTGACCTTGGCACTGGCTGAAGAGGGGAAATATGGCTCCAGGAGTTTATCAGCACAGGGAAGCTGTCACATGGCCTTTCAGCCTTTTACACATGCTGTGTGGAAAGTCTCAAGCTGAGATTTTTTTTTTTTTTGTCCCAGGAAGCAGAGGTAAATGCAGCTCCGTTTTGGAGCAATACGTCTTCAACCCAGGTGTCAAAGAATTCTCACAGATAAAGTTCTAAGGGGCATGTGCCAGAGGTAAAAAAAATCAGTACACTTACTTAAAGAAGCACATCACCATGAGCAAAAGACAGCAGAAATGACAGAAAATCTGACCCAAACAGACTTCAGGATACATAATTTTTATGTGTAATATGTTTAATGGAATCAGAAGAGCGGGGTTGATATGAGCCAGAGATAACCAAACAGTTTTGAAGAAAGAATCAAAAAGAGTTTGTAGAAATGAAAAGTGTAGTCATTGAAATTAAAAATTTAGTGGGCCATCAAAAAAAATCAATTAAAAAATGTAGTGGACCATTAAACAGATTATGTGTAGCCAAAGAGAGAATTAGTGAAATGAAAGATAAATCCGAAGATGGTTCACAGTGCAGCACAGAAGGATAAAAAGGTGGAAAATATGAGTTGAGAGACAGGAAGGACACAGAGAGGAGTTCCAGCAAGAGATAATAAAGGATGTTTCTGCAGAGAAATGAACAGAGCACTTCCCAGAATCAAAGGGCTTATGTTCATAGATTCAGGAAACACAGCAAATCCCAAACTGGATAAAGACGTGGTGTACACAGAATAATCTTAAGGAATCTACACAGAACCTTCTAGAACTTACATAGTCGGCATAGAAAACTAAATTTTACTTCTATATAAGTGCAGCAAACAATAGGAAAAATGATTTTTTAATCAAATACCATTTATAATACCATCAAAAAATACAGTACTTAGGGATGAATCTAACCCAAAAATGTGCAAGGTCTTTTCAGTAAAAACTACAAAACATTGCTGAGAAAAATTTAAAAAGATCTAAATGAAGAAATTTAACACATTCATGGATTAGAAAACTCACTACAGTGGCCTTGTACTCAGCAACAAAAAGATGGGCAAACCTCGGAAACATTTTCTGTATCTTGCTAATTATATCTCAAAAAATAGTTTTCAGTATCTCAGCTGGGATGATAGTTTCAAAGATATAATTTATCAAAGCTCATCTAACTACAGGGGTGGACACAGCTCAGTGGTAGAGTGTGTGCCTAGCATGCACAAGGTCCTGGGTTCAACCCCCAGTACCTCCATTAAAAATAATCAATAAATAAAAGCTTAATGACCTCCTCCCTCAAAATAAATAAAAATAAAAATGTGCAATTGTAGCAAAAATTCTTAAAAAGAACCCTCATCTAACTACACTTAAATGGGTATGTGTTAGTGTATGTTAATTATACCTCAGTAAGTTTTTTGGTTTTTTGAGGGGGAGTAGTTAGGTTTGTTTATTTATTTATTTTGATGGAGGTACTGGGGACTGAACCCAGGACCTCATACATGCTAGGCATGACCTCTACCCCTGAGCTATACCCTCCCCACGTTTTTATTTGTTTGGGGTTTTTTGTTGTTGTTGTTTTATTTTTTAATGGAGGTACTGGGGACTGAATCAGGACCTCGTGCATGCTAAGCGTGCGCTGTACCACTGAGCTATACCTCACTCCCAATAAGTTAACTGTAAAAGTCAAAAAAAGTCTGCCCTTAGACACAACAACATAATAAAATTGCGGAACATGGAAGACAAAGGGAAGGGCTGAAAGGTAGCTACAGGAACTGTAGACAGCAGCTTCTCCGGGTAACGCTAAAAGCGAGAAGGCAGACAGTACCTTCCGGCTGCTGAGAGATGGCCCGTGGCTGACGGAGCTGAGTGCCTGCACCAGGGGAAGGTGAGCGGGGCTCTGGCCAGTTGCTGGTGGGACATTGCTCACCTGAACGTTGGGAGTATCCGCCATGTGATGGGGGTGGGTGTTTCCCATGCATGAGCTCATCTCATCTCCCGGATCGCTCTGAGCATCACTTCTTTTCATAGATGAAGAAACCGAAGTGGAGGTGGGGTTCTCACCCTCGTTCACTAGAGAGAGTTCCAATCGATCATGTGACGTAGCAGCCCTGTCTGACGTGGGTATACATGGCTGTGGGGCTAAACTTGATTCCTTGCAGAATGAATGTTTTCACTGACCCTCCAACCCCACTTGAGGCTGCAGAGACTGCCTCCTCACTCCGCTCTGTGTGGCGGGGAACCCTGCTGTCCCTGGGAGGCTGGATGAAGTCACCCTGGCACGTCAGACTCATGAAGCTGCCTTCTCTCTTGTAGTGTGGAGACACAGCCCAACTGGAAGGACACTCATCTGACCCTGTGTGATGGGGACATGTCCACTGCTGATGGGAGAGCCTCACTGTGCTGCAGGAGTTCAGCTGACTTTAGTCTGTGGTCCAGGCCCTGAGCAGGGCACGCGCACACTTACTGTCTCATTTATCTTCATAGTCACCCCAGCACTATTGTCCCCATTTGTGGATAAGTAAACTGGGATACAGTGATGTGCCCAGGGTCACACTGTCAGTGACAGCCAGGCGCTGGCAAAGCCAGGATGCAGACTCTGGTCTCTCTGGGTTAAAAGTCTGTTCCTTCTGCCCTGTGTCAGCTTTTCCTGTTGATCAGAGGAACAGATGGTCCCTCTGCCTTCTAAGCTAGAAAATTACCAAATCACATCCCAACACCGGAGACAAGTTCTAAGTTCTCCTGAAGAGGCTCTGATGGCCATTGTCAAGTCCTTGCATTCTGCTGCCCCCATCTTCCTTGTCCTTCTTGCTGGTCATTTCGCAAAGGACACATGTACAATCTTTCCCTCAGGTCTCTGGAGGAATCCGTGAGTGCCGACGAGGAGGACAGCGCAGGTCCTGGGTGGGCTGTGCACGCGGGTCTGCAGGTAAGCCGGCAGCGCCGTCTCCACCAGCTCCCGGAGCCGCTCCGTCACCGAGGGGCTCCCGTGTATTCACTCATTCTATTCATTCATTCGTCGTTTGTTCAGCAAACGCTTGTTGATGTCACCCAATGACACGCACATGGGGTAAAAGCTTCAGGGAACTCAAAAATAAACCTCCCCCTTCCGTAAGTGTGGAGACAGCCAGCCACGTGAACAAGTAATTACAGTACTCGTGGAAAGGGCTTTTTCTTCTGGCTGCTTGGAGAATTCTCCTGAACTTGGCTTGAACTTCGCCTCCTCGTGCTTCTCCTCTGTCCCTAGCACTGGGCACACCCCTGGTCACGGAAGGATGCTGCTGTACAGTGGCTGCATTTCCACGTTCCCTCTCTCCGCACTGAGCCCCACAGGGGGGCTCGCGTTCAGTTGCTCTGCCCCGGGGCCTGGTAAGGTAGGTGCTCAAACAGTATTGGATGGGCAGCACGCGCAAGGGTTCGAGTGAGTAGGTGATGCCCTCAGTACATCCAGGACGCCGTGGGTATGCGGAACACTGTCCTGCCAGGGACAGGGAAGTGCGGACAGTTGTCCACAGGCTCCCTGCCCGCCTGAGGGCAGAGCCCCGCCTCTGCTCACAGAGCTGCCCTGGCAGCATCCTCTCTCCAGTTGCTCTTTGAACCTTTATTATAAATGGGAAATGCTCGTAAGCACACCATTTTATTTGTGTGTGTGTTTGCTTGTTTTCCCTTTTCAGTTCTATTAGGTAGAATCATCACGGTCCG